GGAGCTTGTGGAGAATTTCAGCTTTTAAAGAATGTTTTTAGAGTGCTATCTAAGGAGTAATAAATGTTTTTTAAAATGCTGTTTCAGGGAAAAAAAAACTTGAATATACTGGCTTCAATGGAAACAAGATTTAAGTAAATCTCATTCGCTTTAACAGATATGCAGACTTCATCCTAAGTTGTTTAGATTTGTAAAGGAGGAGAGGATTTCACTCATTACTTGAGTGAAATTCTGTATTCTGCTGGTAAAATCCATCCTGAATTACTATTGTATACAAAGAACAAAATTTTAAGTACAGATCCACCTGCAATTGAAACATTCAAGACAATTATCTTTGAGCAAGATTTGAGTATTAACACTTATTTGATATATGGAAACTACAGCAGTCTCTTATTATTGCTGGTTGTTTTCTTGCAGCAAGGTTAACTTGCAGAAATATCAGCAGAAGATTCACTTCCCCCAGATTACTAATGCAGACCTTGTAGCAAACAAACTTTTCATTAGGCATTCTTGTGAGCTTGTATTACAGCTGTTCATTTATTTGCATCACCAAAAATAAGTGGAGGCTAGAAAGAATAGAATGTTATACTATGCTTTAAGATAATCCCTTCTTAAGGAAAAAAAAAGGGGGAAAAAAAGGCACTTGCTCTTTATCAGAAAGAACTGAAAAAGGACAGGTCAGTATTACAGCTGTAGATTGCTTGTTAAAGACAGAAAGTGAAGCAAAACGTAGCAAGCAAAAATGACAATTACTGCAGAGGTAAAATGCTACCCTGGGCACTTAAAATACTTCATTGTAACAACAGCTTTTTCCAAAGACTCACTGACATCTAAGAATGTCATATCTGGTAGCAAATTAAAACAAATCTCCATTAGGCTGGTAATTGCTTATTGTCCCCATTGTCAAGATGGCTAAATTGAGATGTAGTGAGTACAGTTGGCCACTCAGTACAGGGTGTAGGAGGCAGAAGGATACTTTACATCCAAGATAATGAACTACAAAATTACACTTTTAAGGAAATACTGTAGATCCATCTGACTTGCACTGACAAGCATATTTTCTCTGCCATAGGCACAATCAATGAATAAAAATGACTATTTTAGATTTTGTTGAAAATACATGGAACTTTTTTACTCTCGGGGACAATGACAATCCTGCTCACAAACATACATTAGATATGTACTTTTGTTCTGTGAGCACAATACCATCAAATATCCTAACCATATCCATCGTGCCTTGAAATGCCAATACACACAGTCCAGTCTGGTTCTGTACCACCATTCCACATGAGGAGAAAAACAGGTTCAGATGCACAAAAGTCTAAAGGTCCTTAACTACATTATTTCCTTCTAAGTGTATTCTTAACTACACTATATTCTTCACTATTTCCTTGGCTTTCTCCTCACACAGTCACACACATTTCAACAGGGTGCCCTTAATAAGTAAAATATTGTCCCACATCTTCACAGAACCAAAGTAAGATAGAACTGTGTTAGAACCAAAAATCCATGAACATCTGTTTTTATCACAAACTTTTTATAAAGCAGATATAGATAACTGTTATTGTCACACGTGACTTCTTGGACATTATTTCAACCATTTGCACCTGTTTTTGTGTCTGTCTTCTAATTTATTCAGGCATTTCTTTCTCTTTTCTCTGAAGTGTCTGCCTGTGTGCCTGCTGCCAGAGCCAGGAACATTATCCTCTATGTACTAGTGATCTGTTCCAAGGCTGGCTGCAGCTGCCCTGTGCAGCTTGATGGAAGGGTATAGGGGGCTGGAATTGGCACAGCTTTGGGATATTGCATGGACACAAATGTGCACACCACAGTATACAGCACCCATAGCTTAGAGGGCCAAGCGCCAACTTAAATATTCCATCCCCTTTCTGGAAACCCAAGCATAGGAAATCCTCTGATCTAGGCTTATGCTCCTGGGATTTTACTGGAGTTCAAGCATTGACAATACAGCTGAGAGAGAAGTAGTTACTATTCTTCCTGACTCTTCACTCTTGTTAGAAATATCCAAATGTGCTACTTAAGAGCTTTTTATAGAAACTTCATGCATTGCTTTATTGACTTCTGCAGATATGAAGGGTAAATTATTGGTATAATACACTTTGAAATCTGTACTTATATGCCCCAAGACATTTCTCTCTTCTCTCTCCCTCTATAATAAAATACCTTTTTCACACCAATGTCTACCTTCCATAAATGTTCCACTTTGTTAACGCCTTGCCAAACTACTGCTTTTTCCTTTTTTTCCTTTTATGCATGTAAGTGGAAGCTGCTGTGTGCAATGTGTCTGTAATAATAAAAACTGTGTCTGTGTCTATATCTACAGCCTTTAAATATATCACATTTTTTGTCTAGACCCTGATTCTGCAGACCAATGTGAATCTGTGACTTCTATTCTCATTTTAAAATCTATAACAGAAATGAAATTATCACTTGAGCAACTCATTACTTTTTGGAATGTATTTGTTACCAAGCTTCATAGAAATATTTGAATAACATTTAAGCAATTTAAACAACCTGCTAACTTACTGGATTCTAATTTTCTCACACACACACATTTAGTAAAAATTAAAAAACTACATACATCCATAAAAATGAGTCTGCAATTTAATCTTTCAGACTCATATCACATAAAGGATAATTTAAATGAAGCATACTTCCAAGACAACTTCCAGATATGAGTGATATCCAAAGCGAAGTGAAATCAGTACTTCACATGTAGTGGTGGGCTCATCACTCATGATGGAATGAACTGTTGGCAGGAAACCATGCTTAATATAAATAAACAAGTCACACCTAGATTTCAGCAATTTCTTGGACAGCTGAAGACAGAGAAATATAAAGATACGATGGCTGAGGTACTGGTTTTAGGATCAGGCAAACATAATCCACAACAGCTAACCTTCCAAGTAAGGCTACCAGTACTCAACAGCACTGAGAGCTCCTCCTGTTTCATCCAATGGCTGTAACAAACCTTTACCATATAACACTATTTCCATATTTGTGAAATTCTATTAAAGGTCAAGATTATTCTTTTTCTGTATAAAAAGAATGAATTTTGTCCCAGATTCTCAGGCTAATTCAGCTAATGGTGTATACTACAATTATTTTTCTTTATGTAATAATAATTTAAAAATCATCAGGTCTTCTCATGTTCACTGATTGTAACAGGATAGGATGTACCAAGTGTGAAATTTTGTACTAAATAAAAGAATCATGTTTAATATTTAAATTTTACTATAGAAACCTACAACATAGTTAGTAATTACAGACTTCTAATTTATCATGTTCAAACATTTTTGTATTGCTTCAGACTAAGATGTACATGCAGATCACGGGTCTCTCCCATGTTTGAAATTGCACTCAAAAACTTGAGAACTGAAAGGCCTTGTACAATGTTTCATGTAAAAATGTAAAAGGCCTTGTACAGTGTTTCATATAAAGAGAAAGCTGCAGTCTGTTGCTGAGCACAAGTAACCTACATTCTCTTACATGGTTACAACCTCCACTGAGGGGGAGAGAAAGCAACTTTTCCAGCTACCATAGAATCAGGGAAAGGTTTGGATTGCAAAGGACCTTGAAGATCATTCAGTTCCAACCCCTTGCCACAGGCAGGGACACCTTTCATAGACCATGTTGATCAGAGTCCCACCCAACCTGTCCTTGAACACTTCCAGGCATGGGACATCCACAGCTTCTCTGGGCAACCTGTTCCAGTGTCTCATCACCCTCAAAATAAAGAATTTCTTCTTTATATCCAGTCTTTAAATTTAAAACTATTGCCCCCTGTCCTGTCATTACAAGCCTTGGTAATGCCTTTCTCAGCCTTTCTCACAAACCCAGTTTATATATTGCAAGGTCGCAAAAAGGTCTCTACGAAGCCTTCTCTTCTCCAGGCTGAAAAAATCCCAACCTCTTGGTCTGTCTTCACAGGAAGGGTGTTGCAACTCTTAATCCATGTTAAGCTACACTTCATAGAATCGCAGAATGGTTTGGATTGGAAGGCCATTAATCTGAAAGTTCTACTTCACTTTCCTATGCTCCCAAGTTCTTAAAATTGTTTATTTTAAGAACCAAATGGTGACCTGTATTAGTCCTCTGAATAGTCACTCACTTAAAAATAATGATATTTGTGTACACCTAAGAAATTATAAATTTGAAGTGAAAGACTGCATGTGCAAGTATATGGTAGGTTTAGGAGATGGTATCAGTAAAGAGTAGGCTGATTACTTTTTTAATATATTTCAGCCATTCTGCTAATCTGATAATAAACATGAACACATTATTAAAGTAAAATAGAACACTGCATCAATGTAGATAGTGGACATAAACTCTTACATTTATACCCAACATAAAATTAATTTCTCATGTTTATACCTCTCTTAGAGAAAAATATTCATTGCTATTATCTCAGATGTAACACAGAGAAGCAGGTTATATAAGGAACATAAATAATTAGGTATGCAGTTATATTTACTCTGTTTCCAGAAGCTATTTCTGTATGTCTAAAATAATAGTTTTATAAAGCTATCCATCTATGAAGTTATGCATCCCGTCTTTATCTTCCCTGCTATTAAATCCCTCTCTTTGTTCAGATTCTTCCCACCCTCCTTCTTCTTTCCATGATATGCTCCTCAGTTTTCCTTTAGTCTAATATGCCCTTCCATTTTTTGCATTTTGTTTTGTTCCTATCTTCTACAGGCATGGAGAACTGTGTCTGCTTCTCTTTACCATTTGCAGCTGAGAGTTATGGCTATAATAATCCCAAGTAATTATTTTCTCTTCCTCCAAACCTGTACCACAATGGCCTGAACATCTCCACCTATATTTCAAATGTTTATTGGCTTGGTTGGGAAATCCATGGACCATGACTTCTGTTCTGGGCACAGATATTTATTTTTCCTGAACTAATGACCCACATTAAAAGACAAACAGGTTACTGGCTTTTTATGGTTCTTCTTGAAGAAAGAAAGAGTACTTACAGTTTTACTCCAGGTGAGACCTGTAGTATGATGCTCTTTGATATAAGCTTGAAGCTCAGACCAGATATTCAGATATGACTTCACCCAATCAACATGGCGTGTGTCACTGTAAAAACAGAGGCAATATTTATGTGTGAATGTACTTAAAAACAGACAGCAGTGCTGATCTTGCTTAAAGCAGGTAAAACCCATTGACTGCCTTAAAGCCATGGACAAATCAGTTAGCAGGCAGCAAACCAGTCCAGTGCTGCAAAGACAGAAACTACTACATTGCAAAGATCTACATCCTTCTAGAGGACAAACAAGAGCGAAGGATGCCTCTAGCAGAGAGTGCTTCCTGCTAGAAGTGTGTGTCACCATTCTTCTCAAGCTCAAAGTCAACTGAAAAAGCACTAAAGGCACATTGAGCTGTGCAGCAGGTACCCAGACACAGTTTCAGGGTGCTGAACTTTAGAAAATTAAATATCCATGGATTCTGTAGATATTCTGGCTGCCATGTTCCAGTGTGGCCAGGGCAATACTGGGTCATGTTACAGTAATCCAAGTAAAATATTTATACATGAAGAATTTTTAAAGTACAAGTCACAAGCTGGCTTTAGAATCTTTATCATTATTCCTTCAATGAGACTCATAAACGAAACAAGGAAATATGGAGAGGGAAGCTGCTTGTAAGATCAAGTCCATAGTTACAACAAATTATTAGTGAATAGTGATGGCTTACAAGGATTTGTGTGTCTACATTCTATTTATTTCCTTTGGAATTTTAGCCTTAATAATGTGGAGGACTTGGGTCAACAAGTTTAATCCAAAGCCTACTGAAGTCAAGGGACAGCCTTCCATACTTTGGAAGACATTGTGGTCTGATAAAGTGAAAAACAGGAAGAGAATTCCTTATTAAAGGAAGAATACCTAAATACTGTACTCTATTTATACTATTACATGAGACATTTTTTTCCTCCAGTGTAAATACTCGTGCTACGTTGTAAAAATTATCAGTTACCCCAGCATAGTTACTACCTTCAGTAGGTAAACTCAGGCTTTAGGAATAATATATAATATATATAAAATAACATACTATATATAGCATATAATTTACATTTATACATATACAAGAAACATAAATACATGTGAAAGGTTTTAATATTTAAAACCTTTTCCTCACTAAAGAGGAAAAATTCAATAGCAAATATCATTCTTCATTGGGATATAAAAATCAAGAGCCAGTATCTCGCCTTCAAAAGCATCAAGTCAACAAGATGTATACATGACTTTTCAAAGAGGTCATAAGGACACAATTTTTTTTCTCTTTCTCCATCAGTTCACAGATATCATTCACAGAACTTTCTTGTGTATTCCTTGTGCTCTTTAGAATAGTGAAGTGGTACAGAGAAAAATCAAATTAGAAGCTATGGAATTTGAATCTGTATATATAATCTACCATGTAAATACATATTTTCAAGCCAAGAGCAAGAACAGCAACAGTATGAGAGCACACATGAGAGGAGGATGCACAGCAGCCAGCTAGCCACACATTGCTATGTAAATAGGCATTTGCATATAAGCTCCATGATGCTGGAATGCCAGAAAAATTAAAAATAATCTTAAAATGTGCAGAGCGTGAAAACCAGCACTGGTAATGCTACTGCCATTCTCATTGCAGCATGCTGCAGGTCAGAGGTGAGGAGGAAAAACTATACTAGTGCAAGAAGGTTTCATCAAATGCTTTTTAGTTTACAAAATACTTCCCATGATAGCACTGGGAACCCTACGAGTATGGTTAATGCTCTGTTCTCTGGCTAACTGATACTGGAGCTTGGCAACATACCTGTTCTTGTAGTCCTTTAGTACCCTGTTAGTATAAAAGGTAGCAGCATCATTCATCTCCTTGACATAAGGGCCTGGTTTAGGAGACTAGGAGCATCACCCCATGGTAGCAGGAAACAACAGAAGAAGAAAGGAAGTAAAACATTAGTCAGACACCTCCCCTGACATACTAGGTTTATTACCTTCTTGGGTGTAGTAGACTGAAGAATTATATAGATGAGACTGCAGAGCTCTGCAAAATTTAGAACTATTCTGGGCTGCACCATCCAGAAGCCTATTAACAGCCTTCCCAACCATACCGTGTGTCACTCACCACTGCTATCCACCCAAGGGCAGGGATGCTCTCACTGACAGCTGAGAGGTGGTTGAACATTGAACTTCCTCTGTTCCTTTCTCTGAAGTTCTGGATTTCCTGAATCTTCTCTGATATTGGCTTGAGAAGCATTGCCACCTCATTCTGAAAAAAAGGGAAATGGAGAGGGGAGGGGA